ATTCTACTTGATTTTTTTTTTCCAGAAAATAGAAAAAGAGGGAGCACTTCCCAGGACATTTTGTGACTCTCGTGTCATATTGATCCTAAAACCAGACAAGTGCAGTATACAAAAAAGAAAACTACAGACCAATATCCACCATTAAAATAGATTGAAAACTTCTTAATGAAATAGTAACAAATGGAGTTTGGTACTATATAAAGAGGATTACACACCATGACGAAGTGAGGTTCATTCCAGGGATGCAAGGCTGGTTTAATATTAAAACAACAGTCAATATAATCTACCGTATTAACAGACTAAAAAAGAAAAACAACGATTAATCAATTAATGCAGAAAACTTTTTTTTGGCCAAATTTCAAAACCCATTCATGATTTTAACAACTCTCAGAAGAATGAGAATAGAGATTAACTTCCTGAACTTGGTAAAGAGCATCTACTAAAAAACTATAGTTAAGATTATACTTAATGGTGAAAGACTGAGCCCTTAATGCTATAAGACTTAGCTCCCCTTAGAAACCAGGAACAAGGAAAGGATTTCTTCCTTTACCATTCATATTTAGCGTAGTGCTGGAATGTCTAGCCAGCACAATTTGACAAGAAAATAAACTAAAAGACATATGAACAGGAAAGGAAGAAATAAAATTCTTCATATTTGCCAATGATATGATTGTCTACATATGATTGTGTAGAATCCTTAAAAATCTACAAAAATCTAGAACCAATAAGTGAATTCAATAAAATTTGAGGACTCAAACAAATAATTTAGAAAACAGAACCCAAATGTATTTCTATATAATAGCAATGAGCATGGGAACATTGAAATTAAAATACTATAATCAATAAAAGAAAGTGAAATATATAAAATATAACTCTAACAGTATGTTTACATGACTTGTATGCTGAAAACCACATAACACCGGTGAAAGATATTGAAGAGGATACAAATAAATAGATAAACTGTGTTTGCTCATAGGATGATGTAAAGATGTAAATACTCCCCAAATTGATATACAGGTTTAATACCATTTCTATCAAAATCCCAGTAAAAGTTTTTGCATACATAGATGAGATTATTCTAAAATAATTCTTATAATGGATCCATTCATATAATAGAAAGGCAAAGGAACTAGAATAGCTAAAACAATTTGTCAAAGAAGAATAAAGTGGGAAGAGTTACTCTAGCAGATTTCAACATTTATTATGTAGCTACAATAATTAAGACTGCCTGATATTTGCAGAGGGATAGATCCAATGGTCAAAGGATCAGAACAGAGAATCCAGAACTAGACCCATCCAAACACGCCCAACTGGTTTTTGATGAAGACGCAAAAGAAATTCAAACGGCGAAGAGATTGCCTTCTTATCAAATGGTGCTGGAGCTACTGAACATCTGCATGTAAAAAGATGAACCCCAACTTAAGTCTCAGACTTTATCTAAAATTTAACTCGAAATGGGCCACAGACTTAAAAATAAGATGTAAAACTATAATACTTTCAGAAACACTAGGAGAAAGTCTTCAGGATCAGGGTGCTAGGCAGAGTTCTGAGACTTGACACCCAAAATGCAATTCATAAAAGAGAAAGTGATCAATTGTGCTTCATTAAAGTGAAAAACTTGTTCTTCAAAGACCTTGTCAAGAAGATGGAAATAAAAGCTAGAGATGTGTTTAATTTGTATTAAAGCCACGAAGTGAAGAAATATTTGCAAACCACGTATCTGTCCAAACCAGTGCCTAGAATACATAAAGAACGATCAAAACTCAACAGTAGAAAGACAATCAATATAGAACACGGACAAAAGACAGGAAGACGATACAGAGATGGCAAATAAGCACATGAAAAGATGTTTAACGTCAGCTAATGCAACGAGGGAAATGTGAGCTAAGCACACCAGCCCGCATAAATAAAATAAAAAATAGTAACAGTACCACATGCCGGTGAGAATGAGGAAAAACTAGATTGCTCTTCCGTTACTGGTGGGATGGTAAAATGGGGCAGCTACTCTGGGGAACAGTTTGGAGTTCAAAAAAGAACAACGCAGCTGACATATGGCCTAGCAAGTGGATGCCTGGGCATTTATCACAGAGAAATGAAAACTTTCATTCACAGAAAAATCTATACATGAACGTTCATATTATTTATATAAGTAAAAAACCAGAAACAGTCAACATGGAAGCAATCCCTAAAGGTTACGTACTGCATGATTCCTTACGTATAAAATTCTTTACAATGAGCAGGAGTTCCAAAGGAGATGGGAGGTGGCGCAGGAAGGAGTTAGGTGTGGGCATAAAAGGCGGCAGTCTGAGGGGTCCTTACGGTGATGGACACGTCCTATATCTTGACAGTGCCAATGTCAGTTTCCTGATAGGGATCTTACACTACAGTTGTGCAAGAATTACCACCAGGGAAACCGCAAGGAGCACAGAGACATGGGATCTCTGTATTTTCTCTTTCTTTCTTTCTTTCTTTCTTTCTTTCTTTCTTTCTTTCTTTCTTTCTTTCTTTCTTTCTTTCTTTCTTTCTTTCTTTCTTTTTCTTTCTTTTTCTTTCTTTCTTTCTTTTTTTGAGACGGAATTTCGCTCTTGTTACCCAGGCTGGAGTGCAATGGCGCGATCTCGGCTCACTGCAACCTCCGCCTCCTGGGTTCAAGCAATTCTCCTGCCTCAGCCTCCTGAGTAGCTGGGATTACAGGCACGTGCCACCATGCCCAGCTCATTTTTAGTATTTTTAGTAGAGACGGGGTTTCACCATGTTGACCAGATGGTCTCGATCTCTTGACCTTGTGATCCACCCGCCTCGGTCTCCCAAAGTGCTGGGATGACAGGCTTGAGCCACCGCGCCCGGCCCCTGTATTATTTCTTATACCTGCATGTGAATCTATAGTTATCTCCAGGTAATAAGTTTAATTAAGAAAAAAGAAAGAAACACTTTTAGGACAGTCAGTGAACACTGGCTATAGTTTTAGTGTGATGATGGCATTGAGCTGTTTTGAAAGATTAGTCTGTATTCTTAAAAGATCCATACTGAAACATTTGAGATGAAATTCTATGTCTGGTATTTACTTCAGAATAATCCAGAAGTGAGGGAGAAGCAGGCGGGGTCCACCAGAAGCGTGAGTGGCTGTGCGTAGGGCGTTGTGGAGCCGGCTGGTGGGACGTGGTGCCTTTACGTTACATAGTACACGTGGTTCTAGTGCCTGGGGAAGGGGGAGGCAGGGCAATGCAGGGGGAAGGCCACTGGCTTTAGAGACTGTCAGACCTGCTGTGAATCTTGATTCGGCTGCTTATGTGACCTTGCTCAAGCTACTCAGCCTTTGTTTTTTTTTTTTTTTGAGGCTGAGTCTCACTCTGTCGCCCAAGTTGGAGTCCAGTGGCACAGTCTCAGCTCACCGCAACCTCTGCCTCTCAGGTTCAAGCAATTCTCCTGCCTCAGCCTACCGAGTAGCTGGGATTACAGGCACCTGCCACCACATCCAGCTAATTTTTGTATTCTTAGTAGACGTGGGGCTTCACTATGTTGGCCAGGCTGGTCTTGAACTCCTGGCCTCAAATGATCTGTCTGCCTGGGCCTTTCAGAGTGCTGGGATTACGGGCATGAGCCACCACACCTGGCCTCTGTTTAACCTTTCTGAGCCTCAGTGTTCTTATCTGTAAAATGGGGCCAATATCTCATCGGGTAATTGTACAGATGAATGAGAGTGCTGAGGAAGAGTGTAGGGTGAGTAATAAAAGGTTCTTGGGGTAAATTTACCTGAGGATGAAGAGAGGAACAGAAGCCAGTGTAGGAGATAGATGGGCAGGTGGAGGTGGGGGAGGAGAATCATGGTTAGGTTGGGCAGTATATGGAAATCCAGTAAAGTATTATTTTTATTTAATCTTTTTTTTTTTTTTTTTTTTTTTTGAGATAAGTTCTTGTTCTATGATCCAGGCTGGAGTGCAGTGGTGTGATCATAGATCATGGTAGCCTCAGCCTCCTGGTCTCCAGTGATCCTCCCATGCTGGGATCACAAGGTTGTGTGTGTGTGTGTGTGTGTGTGTGTGTGTGTGTGTGTGTGTTTTGTAGACGTTGGGTCTTGCTGTACAAAGAATCCAGGATGGTCTCAAACTCCTGGCCTTAAACGATCCTCCTGCCTTGGCCTCATGAAGTGTTGGGATTACAGGCACAAACCGCCCTGCCTAGTCAGTAAAGATTTGTAAAAGAATTGTTGGAAGAAGACACCTGAGAAGAAGCCATCAGATGTGGCAATCAGAAAGGCATTGGTGCTGATAATGGCTTCAGTTCCGTGGTGAAGTTCGTCCCAGATTCAGTGCCAAGGAACCGGTGGGAAAAGGATGTAAGTGTCTGCCATTCTGAGAATCCTGATGGCAGGGTGTGGAGAGACCAGGCTGGAGCTCGAGAGGGAAGGCACGTCTAGAGAGATTAAAGAGCAGAAATGAAAGAGGAAGAAGTTGAAAATGAAAGAGAGAGGAGGGTTGCTTCTGTATCTTGTCCATTGTGAGTCACGCTGCAGTGAACACAGATGTGCAAATATTTCTTTGAGATCCTGGTTTTAATTCTTTTGGCCATATATCCAACAGGGCAATTGCTGGATCATTTGACCATTTTACTTTTAATATTTTAAGGAGTCTCCATCCTGCTTTCTATAATGCTGCACGCTACTATGTTCCTACCGGCAGCGCATGAGAGCTCTCAAGCACTGATCTTGCTTGTACGTGGGATGAAGGCTTCAGATCTCCCTGACCTCCTCTCTATCCAGGATGAACTGACCTGGAGGGCATTAACCCAGTGTCATATAAGCGGCCCCCTCCACGCTGAGTGTCCCGTAGGCTGCTAAACGTAGCCTCTGCTCATTTGCAGTGAGGATGCAAGAATACCTGTTGAAGTCCTGGGTCCCTCTCCCACAGTAACTGGCAGCCTTCTCAGCAAAAGCACCCAACTCACTCCTCATACCACGAGGGATGGCAGCTGGTGCCCAGGTGAAGAAACCATAAGACACGTGAAGGCTTAAGCAACGGGGCCAAGCTTTATTGAGGCAATCACATTCATGCTTCAGTTTGCAATGATTGGCAAATAGGTGAGTTAAAAAGCCTTCCGCTTCCGTACTGTTCCGCCTGCATTCAGAGAGCAGTAAAAATATATTGTGCAATGAACACTTTCCACCTTAAGCGTCCCATGATAGTTCACAAATTTGCCAACGGACAATGCAAATAATATTTATAAGATAGACCCTCAATCCATTGAAATGTGGATCAATCCCACATTTCAACACTCAGGGCAGGTGGTACCCGCTGTAAAGGAAGTAAAACACATACATAAAGGCCGCTTCGAAGCTGATTCGTAAGTTCCAAATTTAGATACTTGTGGTGTAATTCTAAAACTAACATGGCATGTTTTTCCAGGTAAGGAGGACTCGTCATTATAAAAATACTTTATATAAATTCAAAGTCAGAACTAAAAACCTCCCAAGCCTATAAAAATATCTTTTCCTAATAAAAGTATCAATTTCTAGATAAACTGTCCTTTATCAACAACAATTACACAAATTTTCAGAAAGTACCCACTTTGTCAGAGGCCCAGTGAAGCTGTCGAAGTGACAGCAACACTCCTCTCTCAAGCAGTCGCTTGTTTCCAGAGACGGACCACGTACTTGATTACGTTGCGTAAGAATGGCACAAATATCCTACAAAAGGGTACCTCAGGTGTCTATTTACTATGAAAGTCATTTATAAAGACAAACTCTTCAGGCTAGAGAAGGGACTGTCAGGTCGGCATTGCCTTCTGGAGAAGACAAGTCTCCTTGTGACCCAGCTACATTTTACCTTGAAATGTTTAACTTGGGAAACCTGTGATTGCATTTTGACCACTGTCTGAAATCAGCTCGTTCATTTCATTCTGCTTATTCTCCTTTAGGGTGTGGTTGGGGTGATTGCTTTGTGCCCGCGCCCTCTTTGACCTCCTAAAACACACTTTGAGCAGCAGGTAGCACAACTCGGCCACATTGAGCAGCATGCAAATCACAGACGCAGAAATCATAAAAATGGTAAACACGGTCTTCTCCGTTGGCCTAGAGATAAAGCAGTCAACAAGGTTGGGGCAGGGGTCAATCCCACATTTCAACACCCAGGGCAGGTGGTACCCGCTGTAAAGGAAGTAAAACACATACATAAAGGCCGCTTCGAAGATGATTCGGAAAAAGATGCTGCTGGTGTACGTCCACCACAGCGACCCCTCTATCCGAACCTTCTGCTTTTTAATGTCCTCTATGTCTTTGAATTCATTCCTCTTCTCTCCTCGCCTGAACTTGCGGGCGGTTTCCTGCCTGTAATAGGCCACGTGCATGGCCACCAGCAGCGCCGGGGTGGAGACGAAGATCAGCTGGAGGGCCCAGAGCCGGATGTGGGACACCGGGAAGAAGTGGTCGTAGCACACATTTTTGCAACCCGGTTGCAGCGTGTTGCAGACAAAGTCCTCCTGCTCGTCACCCCACACCTCGTGGGCAGCCACCACGAGGATCATGACTCGGAAGATAAAGATGACGGTGATCCACACCTTCCCGATGCTGGTGGAGTGTTTGTTGACACCCCCGATGAAAGCGTACAGGGTCCCCCAATCCATTGTGCCGGTTTCACCCTAAACAGACAAACGTGGGCAAAGGTTTATTAGTGGGAGAGGCCTTGGGAAAGCGGCAGAGTGATAGTACAGACTGAAGGAACTTTCTATTAAAGCAGGCTGTGATACTTTACAACTTCGACTCCCTGCTATGCTAGTCCGAGGTTTTCTGAAAAGAAATGCCTACCCCAAACATACTCTTTTTTTGTTGGGTGCGGGGGACAGAGTCTCGATCTGTTGCCAGGCACCATGCTGGAGTGCAGTGGTGCGATCTCGGCTCACTACAACCTCCGCCTCCCGGGTTCAAGTAATTCTCCTGCCTCAGCCTCCGGAGTAGCTGGGAATACAAGCACACACCACCACGCCCAGCTACTTTTTGTATTTTTAGTAGAGACGGGGTTTCACCATGTTGACCAGGATGGTCTCGATTCCTTGACCTCATGATCCACCCGCCTCGGCCTCCCAACGTCCCGGGATTACAGGCGGGAGCCCCCGTGCCCGGCCCCCAAACACATTCTGGTTTTGGTCAGAAATAACTTTTTGGAGGAGGGATTAAGATCATCTTGATCCAACTGAATTCAGATCATATATTAGATTGCTATTTGCATTAATCCAGGAATACAGGTAAACAAATCTGTTTCCAAGCTTCCTTTTAATCACTGTCTGATCTACTCCACCAAATTGACTTTATCCAAGGCCTCACCAAGCTTCCACAGTAGATTTTATTCATGAAATAGTTTATTCAGGGGGAAAAAAAACACATTCATTGGAATGACATAATCTGGTTTACCCCACAGACTAAGAAGGCGAAAAACAAACAAGATACTTATTATCTTACTTTATACAATATATTTATACCTAATTCTAGCTTGGATAACATCATCTGCCATAATCATGTGTTCTTAAGACATCTAATATTGTCAGCTACTGAGAAAGCATCTTCCAAAAGAGAATCACAAGCTTTTATAAAAATTGTTCTCCAGTGTATCTCCGGTATGAGCAGGCCCGGGCTGGCTCTGCCTCCGCAGCGGGTCCTGTTTGCGCTGGGGGAGGCTGAGGAGGCGATCGCTGCTCCTGCCACTCAGCGCCTCCCTCCCTGTTAATGCACCGATTCTACCGCCCAAGAGAAAAAGGACTTCTTTACAGCTGCGGACACTTTCGCTATAACCCAAACAGCTGGCTTCTTAGCCTGCACCGCCACAGAAGACTACAGAGTTGGTCAGCATTCTGCTTTCAAAACTAAAAGGAGGTAACATGGACCCTTGGAAAATTTTCAGAAAGTAAAAGACCTCTCCCCAGAGCAATGCACTCAGACATTTTTTCAATAGGCTGTCAGAGCATGAGGGAGTCACCCAAATCCTTCTGTCCACCAGCCTCAGACTTTCTCGTCCCTGAATGGGTGAGAGGCTCCTGTCGGCCTCCCCCTCTCAGGCAGCCTCACGGACCTCACACTCTGGCTCACGTGCCTGCAGCTGGATGAACAGAGGCAGCCTCTCCCCACCCAGGAGTGCCTTGGCCTCGGATCGGGGTGCTACTGTGTGCCCCACGGCAGCATCTTTTGTAGACTTAGAAAGTCAGCAGACCCGTCGGAGAAGTTTGACTCCCAGTTCAGCTGGCTTTCTGAGAAACTGATTTTGTGTCCTTGGTTTGGATATGAACATTAAGCAACAATTCTCCGTTCCCCACTCCCCAGCCGTCAGCAACCACCATGCTACTTTCTGTGTCTATGATTTTGACTGCTTTACAGAAATACACGGCACTTGGCTTTTTGGGACTGGCTTAGTTCACTCAGCATACTGTCCTCGAGGTTCGTCCACGTGACAGGATCTCCTTATTTCGGAGACTGAATACTGTTCCACTGTATGAATGCTCCCCATTTTGTTTACCCATTCATCCGTCAATGGACACTGGGTTGCGTCCACCTTTCCGCTGTTGTAACACTACTGTGAGTGAGGGCGGACTCATATTTGTTCGAGTCCTTGCTTTCTAGTCTTTTGGATATCCAGAAGCGGGACTGCCGGATCTCATGGTTGTTCTATTTTTAATTCTTCAAGCATTTCCACAGGAGAGCAGAACGTTATTATTCAGAATGGTAAGAGGGGCCCACTTCGTGGAGGAGGGCAAATATCCTGATTTTTAAAATAAGAGAAAATGTCCATGTGTGAACTGGGGGACTTTCTGTTGCGCCCCCAGCACATTCGAAAACAGCCTCACGAAACTTCTTGTTAAGAGTTCAGTGACAGCAACCATGGCCATGGCAAGGGCACCGAGTCTTGGGGTCCCGGCGGTCTTTGCTGACGCCTCTCCTGTCGTCGGGAGGTTGTATCTTCACGGTTCCTTTAATAGCTGCAGCCTAGCGTTTTACTTCAGGAATAGCAGTGCTCCTTAGGGGGGAATGTCCTTATCGGCGGGATGTCCACGCCACAGCACAAGGTCGTGAGAAAGAGACTCAGGTTCTGGCTGCGTGCAGGGACCAGCCTGAGAGACTCAGGCTCCCCGGGCAGCCAGCAGCAGAAGCGTGGGCCGCTTTCATGTTTCAGGAAAGACGTGGCCCGCGAGGGCGCATCCACAGGTGTGCGGACAGACGGAGGGGCCGGAGGTCACCCCACAGCCGAGGGGACAGAGCGCACGCTAGCTCGAGGAAGAGGCTGAGGCACGGGGCGGCGACCCTGGAATGTGAGGCCGCGCGGATCTGGGACTAAGAACTCAATCCGGCTCTCAGCGCTCGGCACTCTTTTTTTTTTTTTTTTAAAAGAAAAATGAAATAGGCTACCCTGCAAGCTGTGTTTTCTCATCCCTTGAAGCATTTCATCAGCGGCGGCGGGAGGGTCTGCTGGGGGATAACGCACGGGGGTCCTCCCCTACGAGCCGTGGTCCCCACGTTGCCATAATTAAAGTGTGTTTCCTGAGGGCTCCCTTTCCTAGACCACACACTCTTCACAGCCTGGAGCGATGGTCGGTGTTCACAGTAAATGCAGCTCCATGTAAAAAGCTCTTGTTAAATGATATGATGTATACAATTAATTTTATTCTCAGATGAAAGGCATAATACATTTTCCTAATTGTTGATGTTCTATCTCAGACGCATTTCAAAATGTGACCAATGAGGAGCCAGAAAATTGGTAAATCTTTATGTTTAAATATGTTTTACAGCAGCCGTTTACCTATGGGTCAGTCCTGTTTGTTTATACAGTGAAAATGTTCTCTTATTAACCAAGAAACACCTCCCATTGAAGTTTGGTCAACAAAATGCCCAATCAGCAAGTGTTTGATTTATCCAATAAATGGTTCATTTTCTCCAACACTTCAAAGTCCATGGAATTGACGCCCCCGCCCCCGCCCCACAGGTGAGACGGCTGTGTTCTCTCAGTTCTCTAGCATGTGGCCTGCCTGAACAATAGCACTCCTTGGTCCCCTGTGACCTGACCTTCTAGGAAGCAGATGGATCAGGGAGCCAGAAGGCGATACGGCTTGGATGATTCTGAGAGGCTGAAGTCACAGAAAAAGTCAAGAGGTCACAATCTTCCCCCAGGAACACTGGTCCCCGCTTTCTAGAAGCAGGGTCCCTGACCTCTGCAGCTTTGGGCTTCTCAGAGGCGGTCGCTTTTTAAATTGCTTTGGATTTTCCTGAGGCTGTTCTATCAACGTAGCAAAACTGACCAGAAAATAATCTATTTCACAATGCACACTTCACAACGCTGGTACTAAAAATCGGCAACCCCCCCCATGCCTTTAAAGGGGGAAAAGTAAATGAGATGCTGAGCTTTCGGAGAAAAATGAGGTTAAACCCAATACAAGCATGCCCAGTCCCCCTGGCACTCAGAACAGTCTCCTGTTTGGAGCGGCCCTGTTATTCTTTTTTTTTTTTTTTTTTTTTTGAGACGGAGTTTCGCTCTTGTTACCCAGGCTGGAGTGCAATGGTGCGATCTCGGCTCACCACAACCTCCGCCTCCTGGGTTCAGGCAATTCTCCTGCCTCAGCCTCCTGAGTAGCTGGGATGACAGGCACGCGCCACCACGCCCAGCTAATTTTTTGTATTTTTAGTAGAGACGGGGTTTCACCATGTTGACCAGGATGGTCTCGATCTCTCGACCTCGTGATCCACCCGCCTCGGCCTCCCAAAGTGCTGGGATTACAGGCTTGAGCCACTGTGCCTGGCCCGGCCCTGTTATTCTTAACAGCAGAAGTGATCCCAGGGAGAACTGTGTCCTCTCTCTGAAACTGCCCGGCCTGAGTGGGCTGCCCTAGCGCACTTAGTGACCCTGAGCAGGTGTTTCCCAACCAAGACAGTGAGGCGGTGGCTCTTTCCATCCGTTTCCAGTTTGTGTCACTCTGGGGGGCTCACCAACCAGCCCCGGGGATCTGCCCTGCGTATCGTTCTCTGCAGACCAAGAACCAAGGAGAGGTGAGCTCCCCTGGCAAGTGTCAAGAGGCAGTCCAGGGTGATGGGCCTGGCTGCGGGTTACCAAGCCCCAATATTTCCAGCACATTCCTGCCATCACTGGCCAGGCCTGGCTGTCCCAGGAGACGCTCCCACTCAAGGAGCTGCGGGAGGATGGTGGTAACCGCGGGAGACTCAGCAAGTATTAGGGGGGACTCAGCCCCAGTGGCTGCTCCTGCCCTGACTTTTGTGGCTGGACAGACGGCAGAGGGGCCCAGAGGAAGGATGGTTGGTGGTGGTGGTGGGGGGTGGGGTGGACGGCAAAGAAAGCTCCAGTCCCCAGACTCTTCCTTGTAAAAACACACAACCACAGGGTATGCTCTTTCACAAACCCTCCTGGTTGGAGGAGATTGGAAGGCTGTTTCAATTTGCAAAATTGTCACCAATTTCAAATTACTTTCCAAAATCACTGCATCCACAGGAACTGGAACGCTTTGCAACTGTAATAAACACAGCACCTCTTTCCTCTCCTGCTTCTGGAGGGCTGGAGCCAATGGGAGGAGCTTTTTCAATACAAAGTAAAATATTAACTCTTTCTTTGGAAACCAGAGAGGTTCATTTTAACTGATGCCTCTCCGGCTCTCTTTTAAGGAAAGAATAGGTATGCCTAGCTTCCGTAGTCTTTAACTTCTAAGAATGTGATTACATTCAAACTTAAAAGGATAAACTGTGTTCGATTTTGTGGTAAATCTAATCATAGTGAACAGCTTGATGCTGCATTCTTGATACTGAAGTTCCAGTCTGAAATATCTAGCTCTAAAAATAAGTAAAACATTGATTTTACTTTTGAAGATCCACACAGCATTCTGAAGATCGATTGTTCTTTCCTTTTATCATTCAAGTAATTTAGATCTCTTGGCATCTGCCCATAATAACGAAGTTTCTTGATTGTTTTAAAACTTCGTATTTAAGAAATTAATCACAGCTAGCTTGTTTAGCAATACCATTATAATTTCACTAATGACTGAAGCAAAACTAAAGCCCCTAAAAGTTGGAGGGCTACCCTTCAGCATATTTTTCTAGATAGTTCTGTTCTTTCCATGTTATTTAGAAAAAAAAAATATTTTTTTTTTGAGACAAAGTCTTGCTCTGTCGCCAGAGTGGAGTGCAATGGCGCAATCTCAGCTCACTGCAACCTCCAGCTCCTGGGTTCAAGTGATGCTTGTGCTTCAGCCTCCTGAATAGTGGGGATTACAGGCACATGCCACTATACCTGGTTAATTTTTGTATTTTATTTTATTTTTTAAATAGAGACGTGGTTTTGCCATGTTGGCCAGGCTGGTCTCAAACTCCTGACCCCAGCTTATCTGCCCACCTCGGCCTCCCAAAGTGTTGGGATTACAGGTGTGAGCCACTGCGCCCGGACATCTAGCAAATAGTTGATAGATCTGAGAACAGGAACATGTGCCTCGCAATTTCGAAGTTAGCTTTGGATAGTCGGGGAGTCTGCACAGATAAAAGGAAAACAACGTCAAAGCAAAGCAAGCAAACCTGTCTTTTTTTCCAAGGACTCCCAGCGTTTCAGACTCGAAGAATGAGAGCAAGGTCCCTCTGCGAGGGCTTCAGACCTCCTTCTCCTACTGCACTTGAGTGCCTGGAAGCCAGCAGTGCACTGTGAAGAGATGAACGACAATCTTTCCTCTGTTTCTGGAAGTCAGTGAGGATGTCACCTGTTGAGGGAAAAATAGTACCTGTTGCCATATTCCTTTAACTCTCCCCGTCCCCCACCGCAATGTGTACTCTGAAAAAATTCTGTGGGTAGTTTTTCTCCGTTCCCCAAACTGTTATGAGGTAAGTTCAGAAATCGCCAGCTTCCTGATGCTCTACACTTTGAACACATAAAATAATCAAAGGTGCTCTTTGGTCCAGAGCACCTTTGTATATCAAATAACAATCACACCCAATCTGAAGCCTCAAGCCCACTCCCTGAGCAATACAAACAGGGACAGGGGAGGTTTTCAGACCCTGGCTACACCCTGATTCCCAAATCAACATTAAAAAAAAATCGCAGGCTCTTTCTTTAATCAGGAAGAATCGATGTCTTTAATCTCTAGAAATCTCAGGCCATCCATGTTTCAACCTGATAGTTAATTTTCAAATTTAGTGACCAAAAACTTCAGCAACCGTCCAGACAAATTAACACAATGGGTGTGGGATCCATATACTTCGAAATTAACATTAAAGTGAAACGTTGTTTCTGTCTATGGAGTCTATAAAAATGGACAACTCGTGGAATTACGTATGTTTCTTACTAAATTAAGAATTCAAAGGGTTAAAAATTAATTTCCATTAGGTTAAACTTTCCTTCTTTGAGTCTTGTTAGCAATATGTGTTTGTTCATTCAAACAAACCTATGTCCTTTCTAGACATTTAAGTTCAACTATATTTAAATGACTTTGGAAATAAAAATGGAATGGAATGAAAACCGGGGTTCCAGTTCTACACTCATGCACCAAGCAACTAAAACAGAAATCATAAGCGAAGGCAGGTAGCCATTAGAAGGTTATGCCCTCACAGACCAAGAAGCTTGGGTCAGCTGTCACTGCCCCACAATCTTATCTCATTTAACATTTAAACTAATGTATGCAAACTGCTCACAGTACCTGGTATACCCAAACTCAATTAGAGATCCACGAAGAGGGCGTGCAAGTTAGAATTTTCCTTTCGTCACAACCGAAAGTGTTTAGCCAGATCTTCCCTCCTTCTTTTCCTTCCTAAGACTCATAATTCAGAAGAGAAATTGTAAGAAAAAGAGCATGAAGTCATCATTACCTGAATCAGAATTTGTTTAAAAACAACCAGTGGGGCAGGTGAACTGATCAGCGTCTTCCAGACTTAGCCACTGTGGTGCCAATGAGGCGCCCTCCACACCCCTAGTTATGTGACAGGCTAGAGCCTGGTGTTCTCTCTTCAAAACCCCCCTCCTCTCCTTGGCAGGCTTCAAGCAAGAGCCCCAAAGACGCTGCTGGATCCAAACAACAGACAAAGCTCTCCACAGGAGCAGTTCTGAGCAGCACCCTGCAATTCTAAGGAGACTGCATGGGGGCAGGACATTTTCTTCTAGAACACTGGTTAGATTCTGCCAGAACTGGGGCAAGAAAACAGTTGAATGGCGTAGTCTACTTGAGGGAAAAGAACAGCCCGGCACGGTTCAATTCAATCAGACGCTAAATAGAGCGTTCGCCCCCCCAGCGGACACTAAGGTCGCTGGGCCTGTGTCCCCGCTGGCTGCAGGCCCCTAACCCCTCCGGGAATGCAGAGCTGCGCGCAGGCCACGCTCACCCTGACCCGTCCTGCTCCCCAGGAAGGGAGACCAGCCCCTGCTAAACACAGGGAGCCTGTGACACCAGGGACTGGCATTCATCGACAGGAAGTGCCTTCTGGTGCCTGCACGTTTTAACTAAGATGTGTCACCAATTACTTTTAATTACTCTCGTCCACCCTATTGTCATCAGCATTTCACAAGTTTCTTGGAAGCCCAACACGCAGCCCATACCCAGCAGTTCCCCCGGGACTGATGCACCCGCCCGAGTCGAGGGTTTGGCTGAACTGAAACCCCCCCATCCTAGACCTGCCTTTCTTCTCCCCAAATCCAAGGGGACACGCCGGTGACCCCCAAGAGCTTAGAAAATCCAACACGCAGCAAATGAAACGGGGAAAGGGCACCGGCCCCCACTCCGGCCGCTGAGATTCGAGACACGAAACGTTCATAAAACCTGTTGTGCAAGTCAAAGGACCACGCTGGGGTAAAAGTCAAACCAGTCCATCCTCGTTCCTCCGCGTGAAGAGGGGCCAGCGCGGGCGGTGCCCACCGCCATCGGGCCGGGGCCGGGGCGCGCGGACGGGAGGGTGCGGATGCAGGCAAATGGGGGGCCCGGGCGCCCCACGTGCAGCCAGACACCCTCCCTGGCCGCGCTCCGCCTGCTCTGCTCCGGTGCCCGACAGGAGGGACAGGAGCGAGGTGGGGACCAACAGCCGACCTCACCTGCTCTAGCTTCTCGGAAGAGAGTCCTCTGCCGCGGCGCCGAGGTGGCACCTCCCGCTTGCTCTCAGCACGACCCCGACCCCGCCGGCCCGCGCCAGCTTACCTGCTCTGTGGCCGGCGGCCCCGGCCCGGGCTCTGCGCGGGGGCGGCACCCTTCGCTCCGGCCGGGCAGGCGGGTCCCGCTCTGGCGCCGCCGGCTGTCGGGCTCTCGTCGGGCTTCGGGTGAAGGCCCCGGCTCCCACCTGCTGCGCCTTTTAACCGCGCCCCACCCCGCCTCTGCCCTGACGCGGCTCGGGAGGGCTGCGGGAGGCAAGCGCGGTCACCCGACGAGCCCCCGCCCCGGGGCAAGCGAGGCGCTGGGCGCGGACGCCAGGGGCCAACCCCCCCGGGGGCCAGGGAGCGCAGGGAAGGGGCCCGGGGCAGGGTGCGCAGGGCGGGTACCCTTTCCCCGTGGCAGGGGGCGTAGGGTAGGGGATCCTTGAGAGGTGCGCTTGGCGCGGGGCCCTCCTTCCGGCGCTTGGAGGGAATGGGGTACCAAGGATGCAGGGGGCAGTGCTCTCACTCGGGGGCGCAGAGGGCGGGCCCAGTCCCCTCTGGGAGGGTGCAGGTTTGGGGCGCCTGCCTAGGCCCTCGAGGGAGCCCTTCTTCCCTAGCGCACCCGTGGCGAGCAGTGTGAGGGGCAGGCTTTGTTCTGGCCAGGACTCAGCCTCAGTTTTTTTGGGCACTCCAGCCCTTTTCTCGCCCGCGGGGTGCACAGCCCTCTCCTGGAGCGCCTGAAGTTTCTTTATTAATTAGTGACCACTTAGAGGAGGTACAGGGGTTGGTTTTTATTAATTACCTCCATCCTTTGAAGCCTCCTCCGGGGAAGCGGAGCGGGCCTTCCTCGGAACAGCGCACCCGGAGAGACCCCATTGCTTCCCAGATTATCAGTCAGGACTAGAAAGCTCAGGGCCAGGACAGAGAGTGGTGCAAGGGCCAGTGGGGTGGAAACGTTGGAAGCTGTTTAGGGACCTGGCTTTACAGGTTCAAACTTGTACTGCATTGGACAAAAGATGTGTGTCTTGCTTATTCTACAAAATTGGTTGGTAATTAAATGTCGCCACTGAAATCATATATCACTTGTTGGGTCGTATTGTTCCAGAAAACAATTAATAGTGGTTCTTAAGATGTCTCGTAAAGGTCGTAGAAATTAAGCCAAGATTTTATAAACATCCACCTCCCAAAGTGTTTTATTTGAGAAGAACAAGGTTCTTAGAGAATTTGCCCAAGTCAAGTTTTAAAACTATGGGGAGGTCCCTGGAATGGCCTTGAACCTGGAGGGTGGAGAAACACAGAGATCTCTAGGCCTTTTTATTTTTGAGACAGAGTCTCGCTCTGTTGCATAGCCTACATGCAGTGCGGTGGCGCGATCTCAGCTTACTAAAACCTCCGCCTCCTGGGTGCAAGCGATTCTCCTGCCTCAGCCTCCTGAGTAGCTGGCATTACAGGTGTGCGCCACCATGCCCGCTACGTTTTGTATTTTTAGTAGAACTGGGTTTCGCCATGTTGGCCAGGCTGCTCTGGAAAGCCTGATCTCAGGTGATCCACCCAGCTCAGCCTCCCAAAGTGCTGGGATTACAGGCGTGAACCACCACGCCCAGCATCTCTAGGCTTCTTTGTTAGACATCCGCAGATTGCCCAGATGTGCCCTGTGCAGTGAATCTTGGGTGCTCTTTCTTGCCGCACGCAATCTAACCACAGTGGACTTCCTGCTCTTGTCTCCATTCCTCTCCCAAACAGATGCTCTAGGCAGGCTCAGCTGTTTGCATGGTAAAATACTTTTTCTAAGCAGATTGTAAACTTCTTTGAGGATTATAAACAGTTTAAGCCAGGCGTCCCCAAACTAGGGCCCGCCGGCCCCCTGAGGCTATTTATCCAGCCCCCCCACACCGCACTTCAGGAAGGGGCACCTCTTTCATTGGTGGTCAGTGAGAGGAGCACAGTATGTGGCGGCCCTCCAACGGTCTGAGGGACAGTGAACTGGCCCCCTGTGTAAAAAGTTTGGGGACGCCTGGTTTAAGCCTCCTTGTTCTTCTCCTCCTTCTTCTTCGCATTTCTACAATACTAAGTACTTTGCTCAGAGTATGTGCTGCTCCGTGAGTATTTGCATATTGCTTGGCAAAGCTGAACTAGCATAGCAGATAGTCCTGGAAAGAGCTTTTGCTTTTTCTAGAGCGTACCCTGTTTTCAGTCCCACAGCTGGTTCACGCAGTACTGTGTCTGAGCCCTGTTCTCAGTCCTGCAGCTGCTTCCTTGCAGTGCTGTGTCTAAACATGCCCTGTTGTCAGTCCCACAGCTGGTTCCATGCAGTACTGTGTCAGAGCCCTGTTCTCAGTCCTGCAGCTGGTTGCATGCAGTACTGTGTCTGAGTCCTGTTCTTAGTCCTGCAGCTGCTTCCATGCAGTACTGTGTCTGAGTCCTGTTCTCAGCCCTGCAGCTGCTTCCATGCAGTACTGTGTCTAAATATGCCCTGTTCTCAGTTCTGCAGCTGGTTCCATGCAGTACTGTGTCTAAACATGCCCTGTTCTCAGTCCTGCAACTGGTTCCATGCAATACTGTGTCTGAGCCCTGTTCTCAGTCCTGCAGCTGATTGCATGCAGCACTGTGTCTGAGCCCTGTTCTCAGTCCTGCAGCTGATTGCATGCAGCACTGTGTCTGAGCCCTGTTCTTAGTCCTGCAGCTGATTGCATGCAGCACTGTGTCTGAGCCCTGTTCTCAGTCCTGCAGCTGGTGGCACGCAGTATTGTGTCTGAGCATTGATATTCTGGACCAGTGAAAGTTGTTCTAGGACTTGTGCAGGACAGAACTTTCAAACCAAAGTTGTCACAGAGAGTGTGTTGGATTTGCTCAGGTGTCCAAAAATGAAACCATCTTTCTGTCCAGGTTATCTATATTAGTCTGCAAGACACTGACTTTTTATTTTGTCATTTATTCCTTAACATTGAACACCATCCCTCCGTTTTTGCTTCTCATCAGATAGTCTTGTTGCAGCAGAAATTAAATGCGGACTGTATAAAACTTAAGGACTTGATGGAATGTTCATTTGAAAACGGAAAATTAGTGGTCTTAGTCCTTTTTGTGTTGCTATAACAGAATACCATGGACTGGGTATTTGATAAAGAGAAGAAATTTATTTTTCACAGTTCTACAGGCTGGGAAGTCCAGTGCTAAGATGCTGGCCTCTGGCAAGGGTTTTCTTGCTGTGTCTTCCCATAGCAGAGGTTGAAGGGCAAAAGAAAGAGAGTGATAGGGAAAGGAGAGAGGTGTGGGGCTGAGAGAGAGGAAGGGAGTGAAGCTCATTATTTTTCAGGAACCCACTCCCAAGATAACTAACCCACTCCAGAGATCGCAGCATTAATCCATTCATGAGGGCAAAGCCATCACATTTCATCACCTCTTAAAGGCCCCTCTCATCTCTCAGCATGGTTGCACTGGGGATTAAGTTTCCAACACATGAACTTTAGGGGACACATTCAAACCATAGCTTTCTGTCCTAGCCCCCCAAATTCATGCCTTTCTCACATGTGAAATACATTCATTCCATCCCAATAGTCCCCAAAGGCTTAACTCTTCCAGCACCAACTGAAAGTTCCAAATCCAGAGTCCCATCTAAGTCAGATGAAGCTGAGACCGCAAGGCAGGCAAGACTCACCGGAGGCAGACTCCTTTCTAGCTGTGACCCTGTGAAATCAAAACAGTCTGTCTACTCCCAAAAGACTGTGGTGGGGCAGGCATAGGAGAGTCATTTTCACTCCAAAAGGGAGAGATAGGCAGGAAGAAAGGGGTAACTGGTTCCAGCTCCATCTAGAACCCAACATGGACGTGTTAGGCTGTTTTTGCATTGCCACAAAGAAATACCTGAGGCTGGGTAATTTATAAAGAAAAGACGGGCCCTTGTGGTGGCTTACGCCTGTAATCCCAGCACTTTGGGAGACTGAGGCAGAAGGATTGCTTGAGCTCAGAAGTTCCAGACCAGCCTGGGCAACATAGTGAGACCTCATCTCCACTTAAAAAAAAAAAAATTCGCTGGGCATGGTGGTGTGTGCCTGTAGTCCCAGCTACTTAGGAGGCTGTGGCAGGAGGATCATTTGAGCCTGCATGATGGAGGCTGCAGTGAGCTATGACCTCGCCACTGTGCTCTATCTAGCCTGAGCAACACAGTGACATCGGTTAAAAAAAAGAAAGAAAGAAAGAAAAAAGAAAAATGTAATTAGCTCGTGGTTCTGCAGACAGTACAGGAAGCATGGTACAGGCATCTGCTTCTGACGACCCCTCGGGAAGTTCCCAAACATGGTGGAAGGCCAAGGGAGAGCAGGTATCTCACAAAGTGGGAGTGCGAGCAGGAGAAAAAGCGGGCAGGTGTCCAACACTTTTAAGCCACCAGATCTCAAGTGAGTTCATTGGTCACCAAGGGGACGGCACGAAGCCATTCATTAGGGATCCACCCCCACGATCCAAACACCTCCCTCGAGGCCTCACCGCCAACACTGGGGATTACATTCCTGGAGGGGACAAATATCCAAACTGTATCAATGGAGAACAACATTAAGTCTTAAAACTGGAGAATCATCTCCTCTGACTCCCTTTCCTGCAATCTGAGCACACTGGAGTGGGGCTGGGACCCCCTAAGACCTCAGGCAGCCCCTCCCCTATGGCTTTGCTGGGCTCAGGCCACCCAGCAGCTCTCACAGCAGGGAGTCTCACGCCTGCAGCTTTCCGAGGTTGGAGTTGCACACTGGTGACCCTGCAGTTCTGGGGGCTCAGGGGGTCCCTGGCTCCCATGGCTACACCTCTGTGACAAGTCCCTGCCTGAGCCCCTAGGCTGTCCAAGTCATCCTCCGAATCTAGGAAGGCTACCGTGGCCCCCTAACTTGGGCGTTCTGCATGCTTGCACCACACGGATGCCAACGAGGTCTGCAACTTACACCTTTCAGAATAGTGGGTTGAACTGTGCCTGGGCCTGCTTGAGCCATGGCTGAGCAGCCGAGGGGTGTTGTGCCAGAATCCGGGGAGCAGACGCCCAGGGCAGTGTATGCTGAAGTCCGACACGCACCTCTCTGGGAGCCTTGCTCTCAAAGTCTTAGCTTGCCTTGAAGATCTCTGGAGTGCCTTCGGGGTCATTGTCTAATCAATCGTCTTGATGAATAGAACCTGGCTTCCTTCTGTCCACAATCTCTTTAGCAAACACTGTCCTGGCCATTCTCAATAGTCAATCCTGAACATGATTTGTATTCTTACATGGCCAGGCTGAGAGCTTTCCAAACCTTTC